ATTATGATGTAAAGGTTGAGATTCCCTTCCCCTCTCTTTGACATAAGCAAGAGTTTTCTCAGTTACACTCGACATCCTTGCTTATGAATATCTACCTAAACCACGGCTCCCTCAAACCTTAGCTCTGATATCACATTGTTAGAACCTTAGCTTGATCAACCTCTCCTGACTAAGTCAGCCGAACCCTCAGTATATAAACAAAGAAATTAGGAAACTTGAATATAAGAGAGAATAGAGCTTGGATGAGAGAACTTGAAAGCTTTATTGATATGCTTGCTTTGCTTTTTGCTTGTTGTTTACAAATGAGAGTTGTGGGGGTATTTATAGGCATCTCCCTTTCTCGAGAAAATTTTCAACTCCTTAATAGACGGTGGAGATTAATCTAATCCTACAATTTACATTTATACTCTAGAGTGTTTCATAAAAATATTTACAATAAATATTTAGATATTTACAAGATATTTCTAGACTAATTTTTAAGATATGTGTGAAATGTTCGAGAACATTTTAGAATATCCTAGACATTTTCATATCCCTCTCTAAGTTTCTAGAACCTTTTAAAACTTCTATATTTTTTCAAATTATTCTAGATTGTTCTAGATGCTTCTAGAACATTATTCTTCTTAAACGTCTTCGATTCTCCTCAAAATCTCTACATCATCCTGGATGTCTCCAAAAGTATCGTAACCTTATGGTTTCTTCTCCTTCTGAATAGAGATTGTGACAACTCGCTAGCTATTGGCACTTGAGCTTTGGAGCACAAACACCCATGATCATGTGAACAATTTCTCTTCGATTTAAATTAAAAAAAATTAATAATAATTTTTTTAAATTTTATAAATAATAACTTAATCTATCAAAATGTCATAATTTTAAATAAATTATTTAAAAATATCTTTATCAATAAATTTTAAATTAAAAATATTATTTTATTCTTGTTAACAAATTATAATTTCTTATTCAATTATTATGATTCTTTGAATAAAAGTTGTGAGTGAGCCTTGTTATTTTCAATAAGAGTAAAATGATCTTTTCATTTTAAAATTTATTGACACATAAATCTCTAAAAATTTTATTGAAATTATGACATTTTAAAATGTTAAATTATTATTATTATTTATATAATTTAAATATATTTTATTGCCATTTTTTGGATCCAAAAACAAAACTGTAACCTTAATCATTAGTAGAGGTAGCATACTAAACATTACGAGAGCACCCTTTTCTTTATGCCTCTCTTCAATCGGACCGAATACGAACAACCATCCATGGAGCGGACCATGTATCCCCTTTTTCTTTCCTTTTCATGCTGCCGCCATATTTATTGCTTTGAAATTTTCTACTCACCCGACTCTTCTGAACTAATTTTAAATCCCGCGTAACCAACGATCTTAGCCGGCAATTTTGGTTCCGGTCAACAAAGCAAAGCGCCTAGCTTGCTAAATCGTACCTTGTCGTAATTTCACTTGTAATTTTACTCACTCCAATTAATCACTGCTTCCGGGTTTTAATATGTTTTTATCTCATTTTATCAAGATTTTATTGGTACAAACAGCAAAGAAACTGATTTTCTAAAAATATTATTTTTTACTAATTTCATTAAAGATGTATGATTTATTTATAAAATATTGTTTGTTTTATAAGACCTAGTAATTAAGTTTTGTCCATGTGGAATTAAAAGGGTGATAATTAAGTTTGTGGGAATTCTGCGTATTTTATGTAATAAATAAAATGTCAGTCTAGGGTTCATACTTTAAAAATAAGAAGGGTTAAATAACAATACAGATCGTGAATGATATGTTTAGGGACGATTTAAATATTGAACTTATATCTGATATAGTTAGAACTCTAAACAGTTAAATCTCAAACAATTAAGATATCTCTCTTCTAATTTTCTCTATCTTGCTTTTTGTTACCTGTGTGGAAAATTTGGTGTGGATAGTTTCCGTTCCAGCATCTCAAAAGAAAAGGGAGCATGGCGAGAGGGGAGAGAGAATTTCTAAACATAAACGGACGTTTAAATAAAATTAACAGTAAGGATTAGATTGTTTCAAATTGAATTTATTAATTTATCAGAGTTTAAAATGTACTAAATATATGCTCAGGGTTAATTAAAATCACTATTGAACTTATAATTTAAAATTCATACAATCATTTTATCCAATTTTTTTTTTAAAAAAAGAAAAGGTTGTAAGGGGCGTCCGGGTCAGAGTTCAAAGGGGGTGGCTTATGTTTAATTATATTCGAAGTCTCATGATTGACTTTCAAATTTTTTATTTTTCCCGAGGCTCAAAAATAGACCAACGAGTCACTTGACTCTGCACTTCCGCAGCCAAAGTATACGGGATGCTCCCTGCACTATTCCGTCTCTTTTGCCTGCTTCCTTCCCCGCTATTTTTCCCGATTTACTCTGTTTATTTCGTATATTCAATTAATAAATAAAGCTGAAATTGTCTTATATTCTATGACAATAAAATATTTTTAAAATTATCTTATAATTAATTACTATTTGAGGACTAGGTGGCTAAAAATATTAAGAAAAAGGGCAACCACAAAAAAAAGGACAAAAGCAGAAAGGCAGGCGACTTCTTATTTGGTAGCTGGCGTGCATGTTGTGTAACACGTCCTAGAAAATTTTCACCAAAAGTCAAATTAATTTTTAACAAAATGTTCAAATTATATGTAATTTTTTAATAGTATATATTAGCCAGTATAAGAAAAATTTATAATGATGGCATATCTTTAAAAATAAAATAGATTTTAAAATAAAAGGAGAAAAGTTTAGACCAACTCTAATGAGAGAAGAGTGCGAGTTAGTTTGTGCGTCATGCTGTGAAATATTGCAGATAAGATAAATAAAGATATGAGTATGACGTTTTTTGGCTTTATATATTAGGCAGCAGGCTGCTGCTACAAAAAAAAAAAGTATACATAACAATCATTTTTTGCTATATATAAATATTTTTAAAATCGTTATATATTCTCTAAACCAATATACAAATAACCGTTATATAGTTAACAATTGTATGACAGTTATTAAAAATAATTACTATAGATATGAGCATTTTTTAAAAAAGGAGCTGCATTTCCAGTTGACCATAGCCCCCTGCATTATGTTTTGTTTTTTTGTTTTTTTCTCTTAAATTTTTTAGCAAAGGAGAGTGAGAAACCAAAAGAAAAAAAAGATTAGATGAGTAGATGAAATAAAATTAACAATAATTGATGTCAAGATCTTCCATTTCAAATTAAATGTAAAATAAAAAACAAAAACTAAAGATATGAAAAATCAAGTAAACATCCTTACAAAGGAGACAAACTCAAACTAATACCATACACATATGAAAAACCACATATCTAAAATCAAAAATTATAAATTGTGGCCATAAATTTAAAACACTAGCCTTCCATTATCAATATAACTAGGGAATGCAATAAGATAGAGTTGAGGGAGTGTGATGTTAGCGAGACCGGGCACCACACAGATTGGGGATGCATGATATTGAAGACCATGGCTAAAGTTGATTATGTGAGTATTGAAGATTGATGAAGATCTAAAATTTAAAATGAGAGAAATGCTTGAATGAGAGAAAAGATTGAGTGTGGAGTGGGGGAGTGAGATTGTGTGTGTGAGGGAGGGAGGGTGAAATGTGAAGGGTGAATTTGAATGTGAAAAATGACCATGAGAGAGGGAAAGAATATTTATATGACTTGATTAAAAAAAAAATTAATGGTTCAAAGACAAGGATGTACCAATTCATGTGTTGTACAAACTGTGTTTTTTAAAATTTTTTGAAGTCAAAAAACTATATAGTAATTCTTTTTGAATAGTTGCTATACAACCTTTAAGAATATGTTTTTTTTTTTAAAAAAAAGAGACTGCATAATGTCCTTTGAAATAATCATTATATAGTCTCACAATTATATGACGGTGAATAATCATTACATAGTTTCTCTTTATGAATCCTGCTTTTAATTATACAGTGGGTTTTTTAATAATCGTTACATTAGAGGCACCATGTATAGCTTTCTTTCTTTCTTTTTTTTTTAACAGTGCCGACAGAAGAGGATCCTAACCCAGTGCTCACTAGGCTAATGAGTATCGAGAGCTCATCCCAACCCTATATTCTGACATGAAATAATTCATATTGTTCACTTTAAATTGATTTTTAGGTATTTTTAATATTATGTATATTTAAAAAATAAAAAATTTAATATTAAATATGAATTGTTTAGAGTAAAGATTGAGAAATTTTTAATATTAAATGTGGCCATCCAAAGTAAAGCTGCATTGTTTAAAGTATATTTAAATAATTAATTTATAAAAATTATAAAAAAATTGATATTAAATTAGATTGTCCAAACTAAATCTGTACTATCCTAATTGATGATAAATATATTTATTTAAATTTATAATTTCTATAATTTCTTCTTTTTTTGCACATACAAATTCTTGTAAGTTGATGAGCATCATGATGTTTTATTCTCTTGATGTGTTTTGAAGATATTTCAAATTTAATATTAAAATTTTTATTTAAATATACAAAATACTAACAATATTTAAACATAAATTTAAAATAAACAACAGGATTATTTTATGTCAAAGTAAAATTTGGGATGAAATCTCCGAGTGATGAGGTCTCAAGTGCCCATGAACCTGAGACGAGCACCAAGAGTTTACCGGTTCAATTTGGTGCGTCGTTCCCGTCTCCAAATGCGAAATATTGTCCTTGTTAGTTACTCACCTACTCTTGCGTCGTCCAATTGCACTGACAAAGCACCCAGCTACCCACCAATGACAATTTTATTATGCGACACTGTGGTTCCACGTTGCAACACAGTGGCCGTGCGATCACTTGTTGAGGATCGGACAGCAGAGAAAGATTCCCAACCACCAACCCCCTTCCTTGTGGCTTTCTGCCACTCTTATGCCCACCTACCCAGAGCACGCTCTCACCTTATCAGCTTCTCTTATATAACTCAACTTTCTCTCCACTCTTCCTCTCAGGAAATCCCAACCTTCTCCCGCAAGATTTCCTCCTTCTCTCCCTTTTTCCCTGATCATCATCTTCAGCTAACCTCTCTGTCGCTCAATCTGATCCCACCTCATTCTCCTCACGTTACCCGCTACATCGTTATACTCATGGAGTCCATCGCCAAGGCTAACGTTCACCATCAGAATGGCTCCTTCTGCTTGGCTAATGGCACCGCTGATCCGCTCAACTGGGGCGTCGCCGCCGAGTCCCTCAAGGGAAGCCACTTGGACGAGGTGAAGCGTATGGTGGCCGAGTACCGGAAGCCGGTGGTCAGGCTTGGCGGCGAGACTCTCACCATCTCTCAGGTGGCTGCCATTGCCGCGCATGACCAGGGCGTGAAGGTGGAGCTGTCGGAGTCGGCCAGGGCCGGCGTTAAGGCCAGCAGCGATTGGGTCATGGACAGCATGAACAAGGGAACCGATAGCTATGGTGTAACCACCGGATTCGGGGCCACCTCTCACAGGAGAACAAAGCAAGGCGCTGCTCTCCAGAAAGAGCTCATCAGGTACGGTTTCTCTCTACTCCTGCCTGATCATGAATTCACCATCAGATCCGCGTTCAGTTTTGTCATCGTATTTCTTTTCATGGTGACGTGTTAAAATTCTGGGGGACGGCATACTTCCAAAACAGAGACAAAAATAGTTAAAACCTACCTAATCCATACAAGGGTAGATAACTTAATTACTTCTTATTAGTATTTAATATAGATTCTCCTTATATATATATATATAGCAGTGAGGTTGGGTTTTTGGGTAATAAATTAATTTTGAAAAATAAGGAATGATCGTTTATGAATGATTTATGTCAAACAAAGAGTGTAAAGAAATTTAAAATGTAAATTTCTATTTAACAATCTAATTGTAATTGATATATTTATTTTAAACAAAAGAAGCTCTATACCAATTTCGTTAAAAAAATATTTTAAGGAAAAATTATCAAAAAGGTTTTTCAATTAAATATTCTGAGGAAATAAATATAACTTCAATATATCATTTCTTAAAAAATTATGAACAAATATTAAGAAAAAATAGAGTATAGTAAAAAAAACAATAGATGAATTTTGTAATATGATGTGCAATTTGTTTTTGAGCAAATAGTTTAAGCTTTTATGTGGTTCAAACTTAAAATTTAAACTGTCAAATCATTTTAAGTTGTGCTTCTAAATTATAATTTTCGAAAACTAACGACCAGTATATATATATATATATATATTTTGATATTAAAAAGAAGTAAAAAATATGACAAAATAATAACAATAAAAAGAAGTAAAATAAAACGGAGGTAGGTAGCTATAAATAGAAGACGGTAATACGGACACAAGTAACTTTTAGCGGGAAGCTGGGAAGCGTTATGAATTAGGCAAGCATATTAGAACATGCATCCCCGGTTTGCACGCCAGGTCGGTCTCCGAACATGACTGGGTTGGTTGGTCACTCGATGTCGCATCTTAATTCTTAACCAAATTATTGATGTGATCATAGACATTCTTTTTTGTGATTTTGTCTGTGGCCGTTGACTTCTCTTGGGGAAGATTTTTACTTGTCTGGCAGTTAATCTCCTAATCAATTCGAAATGAAGGGTAATACCATATGAATATGATTTCTGATCCTTGCGTGCTTCGTATTTCAGGTTTTTGAATGCCGGAATATTCGGCAATGGCACAGAATCTTGCCAGACTCTGCCACACTCGGCCACGAGAGCAGCCATGCTAGTCAGAATTAACACTCTTCTCCAAGGATACTCTGGCATCCGATTCGAAATCCTAGAAGCCATCACCAAGTTCCTCAACCACAACATCACCCCATGCTTGCCACTTCGCGGTACCATCACAGCGTCCGGCGATCTCGTCCCTCTTTCTTACATCGCCGGTTTACTCACCGGCAGACCTAACTCCAAAGCTGTCGGACCCAACGGAGAAGCCCTTAATCCCAAGGAAGCGTTTCAATTGGCAGGCATCGAGTCCGAGTTCTTCGAATTGCAGCCTAAGGAAGGGCTTGCTCTTGTAAACGGTACCGCCGTTGGTTCTGGCTTGGCTTCCATGGTTCTCTTTGAGGCTAACGTTCTGGCCGTGCTCGCTGAAGTTCTTTCGGCTATTTTCGCCGAGGTCATGCAAGGGAAGCCTGAATTTACAGACCATTTGACCCATAAATTGAAGCACCACCCTGGCCAGATTGAGGCTGCTGCTATCATGGAGCACATTTTGGACGGAAGCTCCTACGTTAAAGCAGCCAAGAAGTTGCACGAGATGGATCCCCTGCAGAAGCCTAAACAAGATCGCTATGCCCTTCGAACTTCACCCCAGTGGCTCGGCCCTCTCGTTGAAGTTATCAGATTCTCCACCAAGTCAATCGAGAGAGAGATCAACTCTGTGAACGACAACCCCTTGATTGACGTTTCTAGGAACAAGGCTCTGCATGGTGGAAACTTCCAGGGCACCCCAATCGGAGTCTCCATGGACAACACACGTCTGGCTATTGCTTCCATCGGTAAACTCATGTTTGCTCAATTCTCTGAGCTCGTCAATGACTTCTACAACAACGGTCTGCCTTCCAACCTCACCGCCAGCAGAAACCCCAGCTTGGATTATGGTTTCAAGGGGGCTGAAATCGCCATGGCTTCTTACTGCTCTGAACTTCAATATCTCGCCAATCCTGTAACAAGCCACGTCCAGAGTGCAGAGCAACACAACCAGGATGTGAACTCTCTGGGTTTGATCTCGTCTAGGAAAACAAACGAAGCCATTGAGATCTTAAAGCTCATGTCTTCCACGTTTTTGGTTGCACTCTGCCAAGCAATTGACTTGAGGCACCTGGAGGAGAACTTAAAGAACACAGTGAAGAACACCGTCAGCCAAGTTGCCAAGAGAACTCTGACCACGGGTGTGAACGGAGAACTCCATCCTTCAAGATTCTGTGAGAAGGATTTACTGAAGGTTGTAGACAGGGAGCACGTGTTTGCTTACGCTGACGATCCCTGCAGCGCTATTTACCCGTTGATGCAGAAACTCAGGCAAGTTCTCGTGGACCATGCACTGGCAAATGCCGAAGATGAGAAGAATCCAAGCACATCAATCTTCCAAAAGATCGGAACTTTCGAGGAGGAGTTGAAGAGCGTCTTGCCGAAGGAAGTGGAAAGTGCAAGAGTCGCATATGAGACCGGCAATTCTGCAATTCCAAACAGGATCAAGGAATGCAGATCATACCCTCTGTACAAGTTTGTGAGAGAGGAGCTTGGAACTCAGTTGCTAACAGGAGAGAGGGTGATCTCACCGGGCGAGGAGTGTGACAAGGTGTTCACTGCATTATGTCAGGGCAAGGTCATTGACCCTCTTCTGGAATGCCTTGGCGAGTGGAATGGTGCTCCTCTTCCTATCTGTTAATTCTTCAGCTTCTGCCTTGTGGAGATGGTTTCCTTTCATATCCTCGTATATGTGCAGTTATAAACGGTTGGTTTGTTAGTTTGGTGATGATGGCCTCAAGCAAATCAACCTGGACATTAAAGTTGGTTGTTCTAGTTTGCTTAATGTCAAGAGAATATTGTAATTTTGCGTTGAAATTAAATTTGTTTTTGTCATCGCTTCAAGCGCTAGTACATTTATCCACCCGTTTGCTGGAAAAAGGAGGTTGGCTTTTCATCAACGCTTCTGCTAATCTCTCCATTAGGCCACCAAAGTCACTTGTTCTTCTTGCTCTCAAGTCTCAAGCCAGCTTGTCGTGCAAGTGAATAATGCTTTATTCAAAGTGAAAATACTGATTTAATTCCACTTTCTGTTTCAAAAATTTACGGTTTCTTCAAAGGTTTTAAAATTAGTCAGTAGAAAGGTTTTAAGATTGCAGAGATCTTTTATGTGATTGTGTAAATGCATTTCTATTATCACAACAGATAATCGTAATCATCATCCTTTCTAACGCATATTGATTTAATTAAAAAACTTGAGTAGTGATTTGGATGTCCAGTTCCATTTCTTGTATAGAGAAGAAAATATGATGGCTAATTACCTTGCCAAATTAGCTTTTAGTCTTACAAATGATTTTAACTTGTATGACCAACCTCCAATTTTTAATTTGGTTGGTTTTGGAATTTTTGCTTTTTAGTTTATCTGTAGTTTCATACCCTTTTGTACACATTATTTTTTGAATGAAGTGTCCAGTTTTCGCTCAAAGCTAAAGAGAAAGAGGTGAAGATACCGAAAGTGCGCTATGGCTGGTGAATCCATTCTCTCGGCCTTCGTTCACTTGTTTCTATTACATCCAGCCTTACGCATTTACCTCGGGTTTGATGCACGGAAGCATACACTTTTATTATACTCAATTTAATAATTTTATAAATAGATAGTATAAAAAATCACAATAATAATCGCTAATAGACATCTAAATCATATTATTATATTTACAAAGCCTTTGGATATGAAGAAACTAAATTTAAAACAGAACTTTAGATGTGGAAAAAAAGGGAATTACGAAAAAAATATAAAAAAATGGTATGAAAAATATTTGACATTATGATTGATAGTTATATAAGTATGTTGTGTAAAATTTGAGATAACATCAATTATTAATATCAATCCGAGATAACAAACAGAGAGACAAAACACTCCCTCAGGCTACCGAAACAAATAATAAAATTATATTCTGCAAAACTGAAAGAGCCATTAATATCATTTTGATACAACTTCAATAAAAACCTATCCACCACTACACACTTTCAAAACGAAGATGAAAATCGATCAAAATTCCAAATGTATGGTTTTGACTTTAATTTAAGCAAAAAAGTTGATCCTCCCATTAAGAATTAAGTTGGCAATGTAATGCCTGCAGATACTATATTCCATGCTACAATTAAGCACTACAATTAAAAACATCAATGCACAAGTTCATCCTTTCTTCTTCTTCTTTTTCTTCTTCTTTTTTTTGATAAAAAATGCAGCTAGTCTATGGCTGGGGAGCATTATTACAATTGACTAACAATGAAGAAAAAACTTCAGGAGAAGGAGAAAAGACTCTAGTACAGCCTGGCTAGCCATTCAGTGCGAGTTTGGCAAATTAGGCACAGAGTTTCCATTCCTATTGATGTGACGAGCAATGACTTCGTAGTGTCTTCTCAACAATCCATGAACTTTCTTTACGAGGTCATTATGCTGATAAAGAGGATTGTAGTCGCCTTCAGCTATTTGTATAACTTCAAGAGAGTTCCTATAAATCTAACCTCCTGTTAATTAGATTAATTAAGGATAATTCAATGAGATTAGTGTGGTGCGTGGATAGAGAGGACTAACAAGTGTTTTAGACTGTGCTTTTAGCCCTAGATGTAGGTTTGAAGTGAGGTCGGGTTACTAGGACCTCAAAATGGGAGAAAAATAAGAAAAAATGGCTCGGTGCCATATGCCGTAGTGCACAAGTCATAGAAACATGAAGGAACCCTTTCTGTGTCAAATGTTTCAGCGCATAGGGATAGGTGCCGGGGCACACAAACAAAATTTGACAGTAATAAGTCAAAGATCAAATGTGAAAATAGAGATAGAAAAGAAGGAGATAGACAGAAGGAGATGGAGAACACCTCAAACTCTACTAGGGCTTGACTTCATGAAGACTTGGAAGCATTTTGGAGCTTCCAATCACTTGATGTAAGTTTCTCAAGCCCTTGTTCCTTTTTCTTCCATTTTTACATATTTTTGAGTTAGTATTTGTATTAGGGAAATGATTTTCGATCCATAGAGACTGTGGGTTTGAATCCATTGTCTTAAATAGAGTTAATAGGAGTTCTTTGAGGTATCTAAACTTAAGATTTATGAGTTTACAAGTTTTGATAGTAGGGAGGGCATTAATGCCTAAAAATTTAGAATAAATGGAGAAGTTGAAGTTTGTTAGGCACCATTAATGATGGTTGAGAGTTTGATAAAGCTGATGAAAGCTACAATGAGTTAATGAACCCAATGGCTGAGTCTAAATGCTAGAAATGAGAGTGTTGGACACTTTTATGTTGAAATAGGAAGTTGAAAATTATATAAATAGTGATTTTAGACTGGTGGATGTTGAAATCAATATTACTCAAGTTCATGAGTTAATTATAATTTATGGGAGATAATGTACCCATTAGTCGGGAGTAAACTCTTAGAGATTAGCATTATTTAGTAGTTAACATGTTGAAATAGGAAGTTTAGAGATTGTAAATAGTGATATTGATAATTGTGAACTTGATTAATTGTAAATTAATCGTCCCTGGCACAAAATTAAGCTTGAGATCAAGCTCTGAAAGCATTTATTGAGGGGCAAGTATTTAACCACTTAAGGTTTGAGATAACCAAAGAAATTAATCCACTTTATGTAATTATGTGTTAATTGACTTGAATTGTTATGTAACATGTGTTGTAAAATACAATTGAGGCTATAATAATTTTATAAATTATGATGTGATGATAAAATGAAAAAAATCATATATTGTGTCATGATAATGAGAAATTTATAATGACATAATGAATAATGATGATTGTGATAGGAGAATTAGGAAATGTGAAATGATATATATATCTCTCTCTCTGTGTGTTTGTGGGGGGTGAAATGCATGTATGATGATATGTGAAGGTATGTGTTGATCACTATGATAGAATGATGTGTATTCATATATGATGCTCACATGTTAAAGCTTGATGAAAATCTATAAATAAGCTTATTAAGGTAAATCAATAACATCTTATATGTGAGTATGAGTGAATGCATGATCGTATTAGTGGGAGTTTGTCCAGGGAGAGGAGTAGTGATAAAAATCCACTTTGTATTGGCTACTTATCGTTGAATCAAAAGCTAGCTTGAATACCTACAGTTGGGATCAGGAAGTAGCCACTATTATACTATTTGTCGAGAGACTGTCTCATAATCTGTCGAGGGACTTGGATCTAGCTATCTCCACTTATTTGTTGAGAAGACTAACTTAAGGTTTATGACACCCTAGGAATTTGAAAATGGGGGAAGCCATGGTCTAAAAGTAAGGTAGTGACCTTAACTAGGTTGCTTCTCGCAATTGGCAAGATTAAGTAGTTCATTCATATGGATAGAGTTCTATTTAATTAATAGCTCATGGTTTCAATTGGAAGTTATAAGGAGGATATAAGATTGGTTCGATCATGCATATTATCCAACATATCACATGGTTAGTAAGTTTATGATAAGTCATGATATTTGAGTTGGCCATTATCACATGGTTGTTATTATTGTGACAATGAGCCTTGTATAATCAATTTGACCATTATCACATGGTTGTTAGTATTAAAGCAAAGTGCCTTGTGATTTTTACTTATGGAGAGATAAGATTGTGATGATTTATATGAAATAACATGAGTTATATGTGAAATTGAGATATTTGTCAAAAAGGAAAAAATTGCGAAGGTTTAGGAATCAGTCGTTCCTATTGTAAATCCTCCTCCCTTAGGTTAAAGTATGTGTATTGAGTTTGATATTGCCAACTAGTGATATGTTTTGATAATTACTTGGGCTTCATGATTTACATGACTAATTTGTTGTATCTTGGCACCCTGAAATTATTGTGTAATCCTAAGTAAACTTTCTATAGGGCCTAAATTTAGTGTGAGTGTTGAAATGAATTATAATTTCTATTTGAGCATGGATATGATGTTATATGCAATGCTAGATCTCCCTCATTTGTTGATACTAAGGGGTTGAGAATGGAAAGTTGTACCCTCCCAGAGATTAAACCACAATTAACACCAAATCATGGTAATATAGGATTTAGCCCTTAAAGGATTACCAAGTGTTAAAGTTTTATAAAAGGATTTTCTCAAAATTCTTTTAATAAAATCCCAATCTTAGCAATTTAAATCTCAAATATAATTTAATAAATCCCAATCAAAGTTTTGAAAGTAAAGCGGAAGCTTGAAAATCAATTGGAACCTAAATAATGAGTTTTAAAACTCAAAAACAGATTTTATGCAAAAAGTGTCTCATGCGTCGTGGCTTATGTGCACTGCGGCGTGTCTCCTCTGTGCCATGTGTCACGGCGTGAGGTGTCGTGTACCGCAGTGCATTGCACGAAATTTGACAAATCAGTGTTGTCATATGACAGTACAGGGTACAAAATTCTGATGCGTCCCAAATCTCCGTTTGACATCTGATTAAGGTGGTTTCAGTGTCTACATGAAGCTTTCTCCTAGCTCTAGCTAATGGCATTGGTTTTATACTCAAATTCATTTTCTATAAAAAGTTAGATACCAAAACTCATTTTGACCACTTTTTCACAAAATCTCAAAAATGGGGTATCCCAACTCAACCACACGTGCCAATAGCTTACACCAACCATCCGACCACACTCAATGGACTCTTGTGGACTTATGTAATGCACCACACATAATCAAAAACACTTATCTCTTAAAATCACTACTCAACCTCGATTTTCACAAAATATAAAAGGGGGAGGAAATGTTACACAAAATCATCAGTTTCATTCCAAATTTCTCAAAATACATATATTTCTACTTGCACAAGTATTTTGGCCTTATCCATGGGTTCACAACCAAAATGCACTCACCCAGGGCACAAAATACACTAGTTATACATAAAATCATGCAAGTA